ACTGAACGAATATATTACGTTTCCATACACTTGCAGCCTATTGCTCCGTACAGTGAGCGGCCGAAGCAAGGGAGGGGGTAAGCGTACTCGAGCCCAAAAGCCAAAGCGCAGTATCGTATGCTCACTGCGCAACGCACGTGTTGGAGGCTGACTAGTTCGAAAAATCGAATCTACTTTCTCTCAAATACATGTTTAACCATAAGCCGCGTACGTTACAGACCACAGTGAAACTGAAAAAATTCAAGTACGTAAGGAGTAACTAACCCAACACAAGTCTGGTGGATTCGTTCGTTACTTTCTCTCTCCACCTTCTCATAAATTTGTCTTTTGGGAAATCCACTCTGGGCGGAGCTTAGTCGACCATTGCGACTCACGAATGCGCATTTCCAAGTAAAGTACACATTACTGCTGTCTGCGCATCCTCGTAGTAAGTGTTCCGCTAGAAGGCGTCTAGACGATCCCGTTCCCCAAAGCATCTCGGTGCATGCGAATGCAGATCTGGAGTCAGTACCCCGTACAGCCACCGACGTGTGAACAACTCAGCGAGACCGCCTAGATCGCAGCAAGTGATTTCAGTGAAATAAAGTGTACAGCAATTTTGATAGCGACAAAATGACGTCCGAGTCCGACTACGAATCCCACGAGATGTTCTACTACGAGAGCGGAAGCAGCGAGTTTGTCGTGAACGATTTCGAGCCTGAAGCAGCAGCGGCGGATTTCCAACGAGAACAATTCGAGAGTTTGAAGAGTTTGTTGCTCAAAAAACCCAACTGGATCCGTCGCTTGAAGAAGGAGCGATACGACGTCCAGCAACTGTACTCGTTGATCAGCGATTGGGACGGGCCGCTTCCGCATCTCCGCGGCATCCTGCAGGCCGAAGAAATCGAGCGTCTTCTCGTGGAGTGCGTCAATTTCACCAGCGGCCGCGAGTACAACTATCCCGGCCAGATAATCATCGAGTTCGTGGCTCGAAGCGGCTACAGGGACCAGCCCGGACTCGGTATAGACGGTGAGCCGCTCCAGCATCGAACCACAGCGATACATCAGGCCGCCAGACACTTGTTCGTCAACAGAAATATCGTGATCCGTGAGCTGTTTAAGATTTACGTTCGTTTCGACGTCAACTACACCGACGAGTTTGGATATACGCATTTCCACATTGCCTGCGAGAGTGGACAGGCCGACGTCGTCGTCAAGTTCCTCGAGGCTGATCAAGATCCCGATTGCCTCGTACCAGGCACGGGAGATCGGCCGCTGCATTTGGCTCCCTTGGGGAACAACAAACAGGTAGTGGCAGCGCTGCTGAGGGCCGGAGCCAATTCGAACTCGACTAACATGGATGGAAGGACACCCTTGCATATGATTTGCAAGATCAACGACGAATACAGCTTCATAGACGAGTTCTTTTCAGTCAACGACGAATTGGATCGGAAGATTCTGGTCGATGCACGAGACAAGCTAGGCAACACGCCGCTACACTTGGCTTTCATGCGCTCGCGCGGCAACGAGACGGCAGCCGAGTATCTGTTGAGACGTGGCGCTGACCCCAACGAGATCAACCAAGATGGACTTACTGCTCTGCACCTCTGCCTANAAATTGGTATATTCGATAAAATTATCCATCCAGTTTTCGACTACCTGCATTAAACTTTGATAATTATTATTAAAAAGTTTTTTATTCAATTTGAAAATTGACAATAGGTTCCTCATGCACTTCTAGACACGTATGTTTATTTATTATGCTATTAGACGTTAAAAATAAAAATTTAACAGAATACCAAACTCACGGTCTTTGACAGCTTAGTTTGGTGATCAAAATATGGACGATTAGTATTTTTTTTTTTTGCTTTAATTATATTTCTAAAATATCACCAGCATTTTGGCCAAGTACATGTACTCATTCGAAAGGTTACTTTTTTTCAATCAAACGGTATTCTTAGAAAAATTTTTAAATGCCGCACACAAGCTCTGTAAATGAGTAAAGAAACATTTATTCTTAACTGTCCGAAATATGGCGTATTCACCTTAAATAACGATATTTCATAATGTTTCATATTTTCCATTCAACATATTTTTTTTACTTTCGAATAGAAAAATAAAAAATTAATATTGACCTTTTTAATTGACAAACACAACATTAGAAGATCCCCAATCAATATCAAAGTCATCTACACATGAATCTAAATCATAATTAATAAAAAAAATGCTACGATACTGCAATTAAATAAGTTCAAATACTAAAAAAAAAGTCGATTACACGAATCTTTTTAGGATTCAATCAACATATTACGTTTGGTTACTTTCACTTCTAACTTAATTAGATGTCTTCGATAGCTGCGACCATTACGACTTACCACGCGACGTCAGCATCGACCGTTAGAAATCCAAAAACATGTATACTCATGAGCCAAGGAAAAAAGAGAGGTATCTGGAGTTGTTGTGGTAGCAGGTGTAGAATAGATACAATTCAGTCACACTCGATACAAGTTGTATAAGTGAAAGCAGTTCAATTGAAACATTTGACGTAGCGTCGTATATATCCCTCTTTATCTCTCACTCTTGACGCGATAGATATAATATATTATTGTACATATAGCTGACACTTTTATCTCTAATAGTTTTGTCCGCTTGTTTTACTATCTTCCCCAATGAAAAATTCGACTATACAATCAAAAACTCACCTACAAGCAGAGCCTTTCATCTCCACATCACAGATCTTCACTAAATTTTTTCGAGTGACCTTGCAAAAAAATTATAGGGCATGATGAAGTTTTAAANAGGCGCAATGATGGGATAATTTTTCATTACATTAAACACACAGTTGGGCAAGCTAGGATAGTTATTTATCTATATAACGTAGTAAAATTTGTTATAAAATGGTTTTTTTTTTGTATCACATTTCTCATTGGACGTGTTATCTCACAAATTGTATTATATACAAGAAAACTTGGTGTCATGTGACAAGAATCGACAATTTCCTCTATTTTCTGTTAATAGAAAAAACCTAAAATTTATTGCAAAAAATCAAGTTTTTGATTTTTTTTCACAATGTTACCGTTAGGGAATCACGATGTAAATATGATCAGGGGTGATCACGACTATCAAGGTATCTCAGAGAATTTTTATGGAGTTGTTGAACTCCTTTTCAAACTTTGGTTTTTTGCCCTTTTTCTCTAAATTCAGTAGTTTTCGAGTAAAAATGAGTTATGTTTTATATGAATATAAGTTATTTTTTTTTTGAAGTAGTGATTCAAAAATTCCATAAAAATTTCCCCTGTTTCAAAATGCTCGAAAAATTTTGTTAGCTACTTTTATTGTGACGATTAAAACTTTCTAATATCATTTCCGGCGTTTGATTGAACGAAATGTACTAGGCATGTGCTAGAGAGAGAGAGAGACAGACAGACAGACGCAGTGATCGATGTAACAGATACAGACGTTGCAATGACTAAGAATGGATAGTTCAATTATTGATAAATATTGTTAATTTTTTAAGCAATGAAAATTGTTAAAACTAAGTGGAATTCAAAACTTGATTTACAACACGAGTCTGTCAGTAACATCATGCATCTGTATGCATCTATCTCTCACGCATATGCATGCCTATACAAGCCGTTCCGTTAAACGACTATAGATGTGTGTTTGTGCGTACAATTAGGGAAATAGTGTCAGTCCAGCGAAGTTGGGGCATGGCCTATACCTCGCCATGTGCTCTGGCATATGTCTTACTTTCTAATTCACTTTCAAAAGCAGTGAGATCAGATGATCCCAGTCATTCTCTACGATTTTTACTATAGTTACTATACGTTCAGACCTCGTGGCGTTAAGAGCTCCGAACATCGCGTCGGATTGAACCCAGTGAAAAAACGTAATACTTCATATTACAAGTGACTTTGTGTTTTTGTGTTGCGTGTGTTTGTGAGTAGTTGCAAAAATGTCGTGGATCTTTATCGACGAGAAGCTGCGCGAGCTCAAACAGCACGAGAGACTCAAAATACTGAAGGGCATGCACGAAAAGGTGGATTACAAAGACGACAATCGACGATTAAAATTTCTCCGTCAAATCGAGCCGCTGATCAACAACTGGAGCTCGCAGCTTCCGGATCTCCGTGAAGTCTTTTCAGTGGAGGAGCTCGAGCTTCTTCTCTCCGACGCAGTGCAATTCAGAATGATCCGGTGCGATCCGGCGGACATAGGCAAAGTCTTCGTCGAGTTCGTGATACGCACCGGGTTCAAGGCCCCACCGCATCGCGACCTGCACCATAGGACGCCGCTGCACGTGTTGTCCAGTCGATGGCGCCCCGACTGGGACTGGATGGTACGCGAGCTCTTCAAAATCTACGACAACTTCGATTCGAACTACCCCACTCTGTGTTTACCTTCGCATTACCACGTGGCCTGCATGGCGGGACTGGTCGACGTCGTGAAAAAATTCATCGAGCACGGAGACGAGAGCGCCAAGTTGGTGGCCGAAGTTGGCGGTTCGCCACTACACATCACCTTGGATCACGGCATGAACAAAATGGAGATGGCCAAGCTGCTACTGACGAACGGCGCCGATCCAAACGCCGTCGATGAGGACGGATCGACGCCTCTGCACGTCATTTGTCGAAGCAAACAAGAGGAAAACTTGGTGGGGAAATACTTCAAGCTCTGCAAGGAGCTGGGGCTGAAGGTGTGGAATCAGCCACGCGACAAGAGGCGCGACACGCCGATGCATCTGGCCCTCAAGTGCGCCGATATTCTGGCGGCCGAGACGCTGCTCCAATTCAACGCCGATCCGAACGTCGTCAACGACGAGGGAATGACGCCGATGCACTGCATCTGCGACGTCGAACGGGACGACAACTTGATGTACATATTCCTTGAGGCCGCTAAGAAGATGAATAAGAAGGTGAACCTCGACGTGGAGGACAATTACGGTCGTACGCCGCTACAGTGGGCCGTGGCTTATCTCCAGCCTCGTGCGGTCTATGCTCTTCTCAAGCATGGCGCCGACATGTCCAAATTCGTCTTTCCCACCTCGAGATATTTCGCCACGAAGTTGGAACGCTACAAGGGTCCGGGATTTGGACCGATAGTAGCGGCAAATGCTCTGCTCACCCTGGAGCTCTTGAAAAAAGAAGGATACGTTCTGGAGCAGGCCGAGGCGAAGATGGTCATGAAACTGTTCGCGAGACGCGGACTGTTTGAGAAATCGGCGATTGATTTGGAAAAATGTCTCGCCGAGGACCAAGAGTTGGCGGATACAACGACGGAATTGAAGCTGCTTCCGGACCTTACGCTGCACGACCTGATCCTCATGGGAGCCGACCAGGCGGCCAAGCGACTATCCTTAGAGGATTACCACAAATTCGTCTGGGCGAACCGGCTCTACGGTCAAGTGCCCGAGAAGTATTACAGGGCCTGCAGCAAACATGTGTGCGAGAAACTGGCGAAACGTTTTTTCCGGCGCTGGACCATTGATCCTTTCTGGGATTTGATACATTACTCGGTGCCAAGGGATTGTTGCGAGCTGATCCTCGCCAAGCCGTCATTTTCGAATCAGGACTTGTGGAACATTTGCGTGGCGGCTGCGCGTAAAAACGCGCCTCCAAAGAAGAGAAAAAACTCAAGTAGAAAGTCGAGCGCAAAGCGAAGAAAGTACTAGTCATATGATGTATAATATTTAATTTATGTTTAGTGTTATGGAATTTTGGATTGTTAATAAATATATTTTTTATAAAACAAGTTTGGATCTTTTACTACATTGATAAGCACATGATCATGCATGACATAAAAAGATTCATTATCTCAACACCTTATGTTAAATCCAACTATGAACAGATCGAAAATGTAACTAAATACGATTAGACGACAGAATTTCCCAGCGGTAATTTTTTTTTTAAATAAAGTGCATAATAATGTTGTAAACTGTAATAAAAAGTAAAAAAGTGTATAAAATGTAAAAATCATCACAATAACAATCACATCCAGGGCAGTGGGCTCNGCTGACCCTGGAGCTCTTGAAAAAAGGAGGATACGTTCTGGAGCAGGCCGAGGCGAAGATGGTCATGAAACTGTTCGCGAGACACGGACTGTTTGACAAATCGACGATTGATTTGGAAAAATGTCTCGCCGAGGACCAAGAGTTGGCGGATACAACGACGGAAGTGAAGCTGCTTCCGGACCTTACGCTGCACGACCTGATTCTCATGGGAGCCGACCAGGCGGCCAAGCGACTATCCTTAGAGGATTACCACAAATTCGTCTGGGCGAATCGGCTCTACGATCAAGTGCCCGTGAAGTATTACAGGGCCTGCAGCAACCATGTGTGCGAGAAACTGGCGAAACGTTTTTTCCGGCGCTGGACCATTGATCCTTTCTGGGATTTGATACTTTACTTGGTGCCGAGGGATTGTTGCGAGCTGATCCTCGCCAAGTCGTCATTTTCGAATCAGGACTTGTGGAACATTTGCGTGGCGGCTGAGCGTAAAAACGCGCCTCCAAAGAAGAGAAAAAACTCGCGTAGAAAGTCGAGCGCAAAGCGAAGAAAGTAATAGTCATATGATGTATAATATTTAATTTATGTTTAGTGTTATGGAATTTTGGATTGTTAATAAATATTTTTTTTTATAAAACGAGTTTGGATCTTTTACTATATTGAT